AAAGTTTGCCCACTTCTGTTTTCAGTAAGGCCTGGTGTGCCTTGAAAGGATAGGGTGACCTTGTTCTAAAAAGTTGACTATTTTACAGTTGCCTCAGTTAGTAATTTGTAACACCTGCAGTGTTGTGACTCTGGTAGCCAGCTTGTGAACCTTTCATGGTGGCCGCAAAATGCGACAGTACTGATTTGTCCTTGCGGACAGTGGTCAAGCGGGCGGTGCCATTGTCTCAGTGCACTACAATTATTCTTGCTTCAGATGAGATAGTGGCCACTATGTGGTGGAATGGACATGGAAGACAGACCACATATGCCATCAGCCTTTGGCCTATACTCAAACCTGCGATGCTGCATGACCACCAGATACACAACCCTCAGGTAATCTCTTTTCCGATCTGTGTAGAAGAGACAAAACACCTCTTCTAACAACAGGACGTGCCCTACACCGATGGCACAAAATGTCCTACAGAACAGGGACGCACAGGGAAACCAACGCCTGGAGTTTATCTATGCTATTCCTGTACCCGCTGTCGTCCCATAGCTCAGCAGTTTTCATTCTACTTTTATATACATTTATACAGAGGCTTGATTATAATTTTTAGGTTTAAAAATGGCTCTATCACAAACCTCTCATTTACTGGAATGACTGTGATCTGAAGTACCAGTCTCCTAATGTTTTGCAGATGGACTCGGGCTAGGTTCAGCTGCGCTGTGACGGCTGAATTAAATTTAGAAGAAAATAAAATGCTTGGGAAGTTTGTTCCTTTGGTTAAAGAAGAACCCAGCTAAGCACTTTCCGAGCTGATAACATCACTTAATCCCCGGTGGTATTTCAGAGCCAAACAACAAACCTTTTCTGTGAATAAAACATTTGTTTACTCATTGCAAAACGTGATTGTTAGTATATCCTAAAATAGGGGATAAAAATATCACTTCACAAAAAATATCTGCTCACGCCACCAAATTTTTTTGTCTCTCTAGAGATGTCTCCTGAAACAAGTCGTATCCAGTGCTATTATCACTGTGTATCCTAAGCTGCTTTTGTCCTGGGAATCGTACTTTAGGTAATCAATTCCATAAACAATAATGAATGTGGTAAGTTCACCAACATGTGTTATATGTGAATTTTTTAAAATATATACAAAAAAATAAAGCTATCGTTTTACAAAAGCTTTTGCGTGGGGCAGGTGTGTGCGAACCCGCATGGAGTGGTGTTATATACAGATAATCGATTCATTTAATTAATATATATATATCTATATATCTATATATGTATATATAGATATATAGATATGTATTAAAGGTGCACCAAAATGAAAATTTCAAAAACTAAATATATAAAGTCAGTTCATAAAATTTATTGCAGCAAAATTGTGTAAAAAAAAGCCCTTTTATTTTTAAAATTTCATCAAAAAAACAGCAGCAAGGAATAAAATCTTAAAAAAAAAAAAAAGAATGGCACCAATTCATAACCCATGCTAGCTCTTTTTCAAGCAAACAAGGTCCTACACGCAGCTTTGTTCTCTGCACGGGCCTTGTGTGTAGTACATAGATGATGTCACTGCCATTGTTAGAAGGTAATATTCAGGTTTGCAAAGGGATTTGATGCACACAAAATTGATTTATATTGTACGGGGGTATCACAGATTATATTCACATTAAATTTTTTTGTGCTCGGAGTTCATCTTTAGAATAGTTTTTTTTAAAGTCAAAAAGAGGAAAATTATGAGAAAAAAATACATTTAAAAAATAAATACACTATTTAAAACTGTAATGTATTTACAGTGTGTTTATCACTAAGAGCCAACTGGAAGGTAGGAATGCAATTGTACATTTTTTAAATAAATAATACGTCTCAAACTGTCAATAAGAGGGCAGCAGATGCTGAGGGTCAGCATAATGCACCATTGTCCTTGTCATACAAAAGACTGCAATGTGTTGTTGCCTTTCCCACTATGTATGATTGTACAGCATGCTTAGTCACATCTTAGCCTGCACACCCTTACTAATCTTCATCTCACTGCATGCCTGTCCACAATGTATTTCCAGGAAAACCTCATGCGGTCATCCCAATCCACTATTAGCTAAAGATACCATTCGAAACTTAAGAGCAGTAATATTACAGATGAAAAGAGGCCCATGGTAATATTGAAGCTTGTCCTTGTGATAAGCAACAATTGTATCTTTTATATTTCTTGTAAAGTAACTCATATAGCATATAGGAGCAATAATAAATGTAGTCCCTACAGACCTGAACTCAGGAACTAAATCCTACAAATACATTCAAGTACCCTAACTACTAACAATTTGTGCATCACTCGGCTCTAGATCCTCCAATCATCTCTGAATTGGTGCTGACACTGTCCTTCCTTCTGGAGGGGGGCTACTTTTGTTGCCCATGGTCCCTGTGAGTGTTGTAAAGTAGTCACCGCTCCAAGCTCGCTCCTGTGATGGACTACAATCTCATGTTTAGTTTACTAATTTGTATTGAGATTGTAGTCCATCCCGGGAGCGAGGTTGGAGCGGTGACTACTTTACAACACACACAGGGACCATGGGGAAAAGTAGCCCCCCTCCAGAAGGAAGGACAGTGTCAGCACAAATTCAGAGATGATTTTAGGATCTACAGCTGAGTGATACACAAATAAGTGTACAGATATATCCCCTGCACTCCTTACAGCTTCTGGGACCAATAAAAGATGTGGTGCTCGCAGTGATAATCACGGATGGTGCCATGCATGTCAAACTTGAGTAAGTAGAGGATCACCAGAACTCAGAACATATCGATACCTTCCTTCTGGAGGGGGGCTACTTTTGTTCCCCATGGTCCCTGTGTGTGTTGTAAAGTAGTCACCGCTCCAAGCTCGCTCCCAGGATGGACTACAATCTCATGTTTAGTTTACTAATTTGTATTGAGATTGTAGTCCATCCCGGGAGTGAGCTTGGAGCGGTGACTACTTTACAACACTCACAGGGACCATGGGGAACAAAAGTATCCCCCCTCTAGAAGGAAGGACAGTAGTTCAAGTACTTGAATGCATGTGTAGGATTTAACTCCTGTGTTTAGATTTACTTTAATTCCCTCTCACTGCAAAACACCTAATACAAGTCCAAGCAAAAATTGCAATAAAATTGGGATTCTAGGTCTGCATCTATTGCAATGCATAATAAAGTCTTCCAATTACATTGAGTGATCTCTCCCTGGCTAGTCCCCATTTTTATCAAAAAAAAGCCTCTTTATCCCATTTTGGCACTATATAACCTTTACTCCATTTTTTAAGTTCTGGCTGGTTAACAACACACACTGTTGGATGACTGTGGCTACCTTTATTAGTGTCCCTCTCTAAAGAAGTTTGCTTTTGGTATTGAATTTTCCCTGACTTCATAGTTACTCCCTGCTAGCTCCCATTCCACTGTCAATGCTGAGAATGGAGCTGGATGTCAGGGACAATTTAACTTCTATGCATACAAGCAGAAGTTAAATCATCAGTGGCTTCCAGTGGCTGAAGAGGATCACCGAGGGATCCGGAGGAAAGGGCAGCCTTTTAACCTGTTGGTCCATTAGGAAGATGGGTGGCTTTACTGGCTAAAACTAATAAACATGTTTAGTTTACTAATTTGTATTGAGATTGTAGTCCATCCCGGGAGCGAGGTTGGAGCGGTGACTACTTTACAACACACACAGGGACCATGGGGAAAAGTAGCCCCCCTCCAGAAGGAAGGACAGTGTCAGCACAAATTCAGAGATGATTTTAGGATCTACAGCTGAGTGATACACAAATAAGTGTACAGATATATCCCCTGCACTCCTTACAGCTTCTGGGACCAATAAAAGATGTGGTGCTCGCAGTGATAATCACGGATGGTGCCATGCATGTCAAACTTGAGTAAGTAGAGGATCACCAGAACTCAGAACATATCGATACCTTCCTTCTGGAGGGGGGCTACTTTTGTTCCCCATGGTCCCTGTGTGTGTTGTAAAGTAGTCACCGCTCCAAGCTCGCTCCCAGGATGGACTACAATCTCATGTTTAGTTTACTAATTTGTATTGAGATTGTAGTCCATCCCGGGAGTGAGCTTGGAGCGGTGACTACTTTACAACACTCACAGGGACCATGGGGAACAAAAGTATCCCCCCTCTAGAAGGAAGGACAGTAGTTCAAGTACTTGAATGCATGTGTAGGATTTAACTCCTGTGTTTAGATTTACTTTAATTCCCTCTCACTGCAAAACACCTAATACAAGTCCAAGCAAAAATTGCAATAAAATTGGGATTCTAGGTCTGCATCTATTGCAATGCATAATAAAGTCTTCCAATTACATTGAGTGATCTCTCCCTGGCTAGTCCCCATTTTTATCAAAAAAAAGCCTCTTTATCCCATTTTGGCACTATATAACCTTTACTCCATTTTTTAAGTTCTGGCTGGTTAACAACACACACTGTTGGATGACTGTGGCTACCTTTATTAGTGTCCCTCTCTAAAGAAGTTTGCTTTTGGTATTGAATTTTCCCTGACTTCATAGTTACTCCCTGCTAGCTCCCATTCCACTGTCAATGCTGAGAATGGAGCTGGATGTCAGGGACAATTTAACTTCTATGCATACAAGCAGAAGTTAAATCATCAGTGGCTTCCAGTGGCTGAAGAGGATCACCGAGGGATCCGGAGGAAAGGGCAGCCTTTTAACCTGTTGGTCCATTAGGAAGATGGGTGGCTTTACTGGCTAAAACTAATAAGTAAGAAGCAGGAGGGGACAGGAAAGCTTTGGCACCATCAGATAATGCCCAAGATTTGGCCAGGACAGAGGAGTTTGGGAGGCTGCAGCAGGTATGTTCTGGTGCCCGCACTTGAGTTTGATCCTCTTCTCCCCATGCAAGAGTATATTTCATATTTTTAGCTAGGATAGGCATTAAATAATAGTACTGGGGATGGTTTTAAAGAAGTCGGGGTTTAGGGAACGTTCTGATTTAATATATGTACATTTGGACTCCCGTCTAGTACTTACAAAAGCTCAGCTGACGACTTTCACAGAATTCTGCATACTGCGCTGAATCCATCGTTCGGGTTTGTTTTTCCGCTCTCTGCAAGAAAACACGAGAGAATTATAACAACATTAAATGCTAGAAAAAATATACTACAAAGATGTCACCAACCATTCAACTGTTAAAGCCACACGTATGAAAGTAACATAGTATTTGAGGTTGAATAAAGACACAGGTCAATCAAGTTCAACCTATTGTGTATGCATGTGATTCTGCATGTGCTGACCACAAGAGCTATAGTCCCCAGTCCATAAAGTGATTGTCCTACAACACACTTCATGGGCAATGAGAGAGAGAGAGGGAAGGAGGGAGGGAAGGAGGGAGAGAGGGAAGGAGAGAGAGTTAGGGAGAGAGAGAGAGGGGGAGGGATAGAAAGAGGGAAGGAGAGAGAGAGAGAGAGAGAGAGAGAGAGAGGGAGGGAGGGGGATATATTTTATGGTATATGCAGATTGGCAAGTACCTATGTGAGAATAATACTTTTAGTTTTAATAACATTTTATTAAAGAATTCACCCAATGTCAATGGGTTATCAATTTTTTCTTTAGTGCTGTGCAAGAATCCCTCAGTCTGGAGGAAGCTTCATGTTTGTAGGAATACTTAGATGAACGTTGAAAGAAGCACCTTAGCAACATAATTTGTATCCTTTCACCAATGAAATGAAAAGTTGGAAAGATATACTTTGCCTATGAGGTCCTAGTGTTTGGTATGATCATATTAAAAGAAAAGAGGCTGTAGGGGTTAGCCCTCATGCTAAATGTAATTCTAAAGAAAATAACATTTGGAATACCACTGGTCAGCTTTAGAACTTTGGTTTAGAACAGCTTTAGAACTTTGGTGCAGTGTTCTCACAAAAGAAACCTTTAAGAATAGGCGGATGGTGGCATATTGTTCTTTATATTCTAATAATTGAGGTTGCCGTTTTCAAAGCTGTGCATGAGCACAACATTTTTTGCAACAAGAGGTTCCTACCTTAATAAATGTTGCAAGTTTAATGGAAGGTTCTCACAATTGGCAGCCCCAAGGAAAATAAGGAACCAGCAGGTGACCCAGCCTACTGGCTCCTACAAAAATATCTGTTATACATTGAGAAGCACTTTAACATAGTAAATATATAAAATAAAAAAGTATTTGCAGGGAAAAAAAACATACAAAAGCAACAGTGGAATTTTACCGATGAGAAATATTCCACTGGTAGATTTATTCCCCATCTCCTTGGCCTGTCACAGTTATTTTTTTCTATTTGAATTCAGGATATAGCCGTGTTTTTATGTGGGTTTGATTTGGAAAAAGATCAGATGCCACATTATTCTGAAAGAGACTGAAACATCTTCTGACAAATCTTCTTCTCCAAATGTCCCAAGATATTACACGCTTCCCCACATGGCGAGGCAGCAATATTTCATCTCTCTCCAACGGAAATCTGCTCCCTGATCAAACTCTCTGAATGTGTCAAGAGCCTAATTTACGGAATTCAAAATGGTAATGGTGATCTGGTTACTGCTGCGAACTGAGATGCTGTTATAAAACATCTTCTCAGTCCACAAAGAAAAAAATTACAGAAAGCGAAATAAATCTTAAATTAAGCAATTCATCAAATTCATAAAGCTATTTTTCCCTAACGCTGATCTCCAGGGAGAGAAAAATAGGGTTTTTGTACCATAAAATCATTTTTATTTTAATAAATTGACAGACACAAGTTGGTTTTACTGCCACCTTTAGGCAAATCCTGCCTCCAGCCATCATGCCTCAGTTTTGTAAGCAAGCGGTATAAAAAGCCAATAGTACAGAAGAGTGGAACTTTGTTCCTCATTGGACTTCAAGAAAAATATCTTACTGTAAGTACAATTGTATTTTCTAAACTGTCCATTGAGGGACACATGATAACAGTAATTCTCTGACACGTAACGTCCAAAAGGAGAAATTCAAATGAGGAATCTTACCACAAGAGTTGGAGAAGGAATCAACACTCGAACCAGGTCTTAATGTCACATAACAATAAACAAAAATGTATCAGTACTTGTATCTGTGAGGACTCGGACAAGTATCAGTACTTGTACTCGCAAAACTGGTATCGGTGCATCCCTTATATATGTTTATAAAAACAAAATCATACATTAAAACAGAGATGTACAAATCCCTGGAGCTCCGTGTGCTCCTTACAAATGACAGATGCCTCCTAACTTTTGAGTTTTTCTCTAGTCTAGTCTTGGAGCTGGAAAAGTATCTGTACTTGTACCGAGTACAGTACTTGGTATCGGTGCATCCCTAGTTTTCCGTATAAATCACTTATTTACAGTTTTGTATTTCTTTGGTTTTCACAATTCCCCCTTTTTACAAAACTTGTTATTTATTAACATTGATACAGTTTTCTCCTACGAAGTTTACATGCTTGGTTCCCTGCAAACATCAGTGCAGTAACATAGTAACATGAATAACACAGAGCAGGTATTCTGCATTACAATACAGAAGCTTGGCGTGTCATTGTCTGTCATAGCCATACATTGGTCCCTACATAAATTCAGCATGTTAATCCATACAGAGAGAGCGACTCTTTTGAAGACTTCTAGACCTTCAGCGAGTCACGGAGCTTTTCTGTTCAGTGTACAACATTAATCTGAGCACTCTAAAACAATCTATTTATTTTTCTTCTCCACTGATGGGTACTTAGCTACTCTGGAATTGAAACCAACTTAAAGAAAATAACATTAAGGTAAAAAATGTATCCTCTGAAAGTAACTGAAACCTGAATTCAAGTAAAAACAAACTAGAAAAACTGAAAAGTTTGATGCCAGAAGGGAATGCTTGCAATTGCAAAGAGGGAAAAAAAATCTAAGATTTCCTACCCATAATTGTTCGTTGTTAGGCTACAGAGTCAAAGGAGGTCAGGCTTCCAGCATCGGTACGTCACTTTTTAAAGGGTCAGTCCACCGAAAACTGATATATCATCTTTTGGTAAATGATGGACATTAAAGGTCGCTTTTGCAACTATGAGTTTTAACCATTACAATAATGAAATGTTGCTTATTAAAGAAATAACCTGTACTACAGGATTATGTTTATACCAAGTGCCATCAACATGAGGGACACATGATAACAGTAATTCTCTGACACGTAACGTCCAAAAGGAGAAATTCAAATGAGGAATCTTACCACAAGAGTTGGAGAAGGAATCAACACTCGAACCAGGTCTTAATGTCACATAACAATAAACAAAAATGTATCAGTACTTGTATCTGTGAGGACTCGGACAAGTATCAGTACTTGTACTCGCAAAACTGGTATCGGTGCATCCCTTATATATGTTTATAAAAACAAAATCATACATTAAAACAGAGATGTACAAATCCCTGGAGCTCCGTGTGCTCCTTACAAATGACAGATGCCTCCTAACTTTTGAGTTTTTCTCTAGTCTAGTCTTGGAGCTGGAAAAGTATCTGTACTTGTACCGAGTACAGTACTTGGTATCGGTGCATCCCTAGTTTTCCGTATAAATCACTTATTTACAGTTTTGTATTTCTTTGGTTTTCACAATTCCCCCTTTTTACAAAACTTGTTATTTATTAACATTGATACAGTTTTCTCCTACGAAGTTTACATGCTTGGTTCCCTGCAAACATCAGTGCAGTAACATAGTAACATGAATAACACAGAGCAGGTATTCTGCATTACAATACAGAAGCTTGGCGTGTCATTGTCTGTCATAGCCATACATTGGTCCCTACATAAATTCAGCATGTTAATCCATACAGAGAGAGCGACTCTTTTGAAGACTTCTAGACCTTCAGCGAGTCACGGAGCTTTTCTGTTCAGTGTACAACATTAATCTGAGCACTCTAAAACAATCTATTTATTTTTCTTCTCCACTGATGGGTACTTAGCTACTCTGGAATTGAAACCAACTTAAAGAAAATAACATTAAGGTAAAAAATGTATCCTCTGAAAGTAACTGAAACCTGAATTCAAGTAAAAACAAACTAGAAAAACTGAAAAGTTTGATGCCAGAAGGGAATGCTTGCAATTGCAAAGAGGGAAAAAAAATCTAAGATTTCCTACCCATAATTGTTCGTTGTTAGGCTACAGAGTCAAAGGAGGTCAGGCTTCCAGCATCGGTACGTCACTTTTTAAAGGGTCAGTCCACCGAAAACTGATATATCATCTTTTGGTAAATGATGGACATTAAAGGTCGCTTTTGCAACTATGAGTTTTAACCATTACAATAATGAAATGTTGCTTATTAAAGAAATAACCTGTACTACAGGATTATGTTTATACCAAGTGCCATCAACATGTGCTTTGCTAGAACACACATGATCACCTGCAAAGCAAGCCATTCCTCACTTGGTCACCAATCTATGGGGCACCGAGATGTGTATGGCTAATCTCAGATCTAATCTGCTAATCAGGAGATTCACATTTTGGTAGTGTATGACTCTTACAGGAAAGACCTACATGACCCATTCCTCACTTGGCCACCAAACTATGGGGCACCGAGATGTGTATGGCTAACCTTAGATCTAATCTGCTAATCAGGAGATTCACATTTTGGAAGTGTATGACTCTTACAGGAAAGACCTACATGACCCATTCCTCACTTGGCCACCAAACTATGGGGCACCGAGATGTGTATGGCTAACCTTAGATCTAATCTGCTAATCAGGAGATTCACATTTTGGAAGTGTATGACTCTTACAGGAAAGACCTACATGACCCATTCCTCACTTGGCCACCAAACTATGGGGCACCGAGATGTGTATGGCTAACCTTAGATCTAATCTGCTAATCAGGAGATTCACATTTTGGAAGTGTATGACTCTTACAGGAAAGACCTACATGACCCATTCCTCACTTGGCCACCAAACTATGGGGCACCGAGATGTGTATGGCTAACCTTAGATCTAATCTGCTAATCAGGGGATTCACATTTTGGAAGTGTATGACTCTTTCAAGAAAGACCTACATGACCCATTCCTCACTTGGTTGTCAAACTATGGTGGGCTGAGAAGTGAATGGTCATTTTTAGACCAAATTCTTCAATAAGA